AGAGTATGCCTTACACACGCCGTTGTGTAAGGTGCCAACTCCAATCATATGGGGACTAAATCAGGCAAGACTCATAAGAAATATGTAACAATATGCTTTTAATTTGTGTGCATGTAAATGTATAGATTTGATTTGCACTTATTTGAATGAGCTATTGTCATAATAGTTATTTCCTGAATTCCTTCTCAACATTAGTGTAACTTTCTCATCCTGTTTCTGACCACATACCCATACTGCATTGTTAGCTATGATTACAGAGAAGGGTAGGGCTGCTGGAAGGAGTTATTCTTGTTTGCCCTTTAGCAGTGCCAAGTAAGAATTATTTGTTTTGGTAGCCATAGTCATGTAATGCAAACTTACAGAAGATAAGAAATGAAAAATTAAGTCGCTAAGTTTTAGCATAAGTTCACCTAAGACAAATAAATTACATAGGATTGCTGTTCTATGTCTAATAGTCAGGATTTTGTCAAGCGCTCAATTTGTTCAAATACATTTCATTATTTTAAAAAATATAACTTCTATTGAAATGTATGAATCGCAGAATGAATGTTTTTACATCAAAGACAGTTGCCCCACTCTTGGCACAGTATTAGATTGTAGGTTGGAGTCAGTGAAGGGGATGTGATGAGGGTTGAGAAAGGTTTGGGCATTCCAAGAGGTGCTGCATGGATCAGGGAAGATGCACAGGAGAAACACAGATTGGAAAGAGTGCAAGGGATGGGTCAGGGAAGGCACAAGGGTAGGTAGCATAGGTCAGAGGAGTGCATAGGGATGACACAGACTGGGAAGAGTTTGTGGGGTTTATTCCTCCCTGTTCTTACTTTCTTTTCCAGCAGGCAAGTAACTGGCTGCTGCTGAGTGGGAGAGGAAGTGAGGGATTGTCAGACTGGCTGGGAAACTGTCACCAAATATTGAAAATGAAAATTACAAGATTACAGCAGCAGCCCAGCAATAGTCAGTAGAACCGAAGGAGCCAGAACTTTCTCAAATTTCATTCCCTTGGGAGTGATGAGTCTAGGATTTTGACACATTCCCTAAGGTAGCCCGTTTGAAGTACCTTGGTTCAAAATTTGCCTTATGATGCACTATTTCACTCAGGTAAAGGTCATGACAACAACAGTTTTAGTAATATAAAGAAACACAGTGAACTGGGTTGATGTGTCTTTTCTTAATGCAATAAATACAGATTTAGCTGTGTGAAATGATGTGCCATAGAATTATAGGCTATCTTACAGAATGCATCCAAAATCCATAACCCATGGCTCTCATAGAATTCAAATTTGGCAAATTTTATAAAACATTTTATGACATAAACATTACCATAAAGTATAGGGTGCTTTTCTTCTCTGTAAATGGAAGCCGAGAGTCTCAGACAATATAGAGTATCCCGTGAACTGACTGCACTGGACAAACAATATTACATTTGTATCTGGCCAGCATCTAAAACAATCCAAGTGTAAAGATGAGGCTATCTAGTTTCAACCTCCCCCTCCCCTCCAGTTGTCCCAGTGCTTCCATTGGTCACAGGTTTGCATGTACTTGGTATGCAAAACCGAATTGCATCAGGTGCCCTCTTAGCTAGAACACAGAATCAGTTCCTTTGCAAAAATGTAATTCAGAGCCAGCCGCTATGCCAGTAGCAAGACACAGATTATCCTCTCCTCCTCCTATTCTTCTGAAGAAATTAGCCATTAAAAGAAAAGGTATGCATAGGGAGAAATAATATGCAAGAAAATGTAGCCAGAGCAAAATGTAGCTTCTTCCCTATATACTGGAATTTCAGTTCAAACTAGCTTTCATTGCCTGTTGGATAGACAGAGATCTGGCTGGGATAGGATGGGAGCTATGTGCTGAGTGCACTGAAATGCTGGAAGGTGAGATGTCATTGGCTTTTGCACAATATAAGCAGAATTAGAAAAGAGTCATTATGGTAATAAACTAAATCATTTTACTGAAAGTTCCTAGGATTGAATAAAAAAATCAGTAGCATGGAAAGCTGCTTGTAAAGCACTATTTCTACCTTATGTTTTGCTAAATCACATTCAAAAGATTGCATATTTTGCACTCTTTTATATCAAACTAAATATTTGAATGTATATAAAATGAACATATGCTTTGTTGTGTGACTGAGGTTGATGTGGAAACAAAGCACTACAGACATAAATTTAAGAAATTGAAAAACTTGAAATTCATAATTGGATGGTAGCAAAGGTTGACTGGTTGACTAAACCATTGGCACTAATTGAGTAACTGAAACTGGGGGAAATGTGAGAAGTCAGTAATAGGCTAGCATTTCTCCAATCTGTAAAATATATTTGGAAACTAGAATGTTGTTGCTCCTTAGTAAGACCACACCTGGAACACTGCATCCACTTTTGGTCACCATATTGCAAAACTGATGTTGAAACTTTGAAAAAGGAGTGAAGAAGAGTAATTAAGATGATTTATAATATGGAATATATGGTATAATTGGCTAAAACAAAAGGAAGTAAAGATGTTTAGTGAAAAGGATCAAAGAAATTCTAAAGAACAAGACACATGACGTATGTGTATGTAAATATGTATATATGCAAAGTAAATATGGTAATTTAATAATAACACAATAAGTAAGAATTTAACAAACAAGCAATAGATATACTTGAAGTAAATGAACAGAATTGTCACTAAAGGATATGCACACTATGAAAATGCTGTAAAATGTGAGAACTTGTTTCTCGTTTTAATTTTTCTTTGAAATTTCAAATAAATAATTTTTAAAAAAAATGATGATTAAGGGCCTGGAGACAAAAGCATATGAAGAATGCCTTGCAGGAATTGGGTATGGCCAGTCTAAAGAAAAGGTGTAGGAGTGACATGATAGTAGTATTCCAGTATTTGAGGGGCTGCCACAAAGAAGAGGGGATCAACTTATTTTCCAAAGTATCAGAAGGCAAGACAAGAAACAATGGATGAAAACTAATCAAGGAGAGCAGCAACCTGGAATTAAGGAGAAACTTCCTAACAGTGAGGACAATTGATCAGTGGAACAGCTTGCCTTCAGAAGATGTGGGTGCTTCATCACTGGAGGTTTTTAAGAAAAGACTGGACAGCCACCTGTCTTCTAGTCCATACTATAGAGCAGGGGTGTCCAACCTTGGCAACTTTAAGACTTGTGGACTTCAACTCCCAGAATTCCTCAGCCAGC